AACAGTTTTGCCATCCTTCGGCTGGTTGCTGTTGGCGCTAACTACCCTTAAAGTACTTTCGAGTGCTTCTGTCTCCTACCATGGAAGGCGAATACGGAGAAAGTTCGTCTTCTGACTGGATGAAAAGTATTATTTGAACATTCTATTTTTACATTAAGTTGGCCTCTTAATGCCTCGAAAGCTGAATTTCAGTTAGAGCCGTACAATCAGAAGCTTGCGGAGTCACTACTAAAAGTAATCGATGCAAATGAGGGAATCGAGGAATTGAAAAAAAGCTTCTACAACATGATTTTGAATTTTGTCACCCGACCGAACGCAATGCAGTTGCTGCAGGAAGCAGTGGGTAAATTTTCTTTTCAACCTCATTTTCCCGCAATTAATCGCCAGGAATTTGGTAAAAAAATACGTTCGACTCCCAGCAAGCCACCTGAAAGTGTTTTAGGAAGAAAGAGAAACACTGAAGCTAAAAATACCGCATTTTCAGGGCATTCAGTTTCGCTGCCGATAGCTGATTCATTTCTCGTACTGGTCGATGCAATTCTCGAGCTCAAAACTGCATTCCTTGGCGTCTGTGCACAAATATCGTCCGAAAATCCGATCGAACCAATTACGGAATCACAGTGGTAATTCATATTTGAACACTCAGCCTTATTTTTTACAAACTTATTACACAGTGCCAATTCTAGTATATTTAACTAGCCTTTTAGATAAGCCATTTCCTTAAGACGATGAAATCCGAAACTTTCTCATACTCACTATTGTATACCCGAATTTTGCCTGTCAGTTTCTTTCATGGAAAAATAGTGTTAGATCACTGTCTGCTTTTTAACAATATGCGTTGCATTTTTTTACGCTTATTCATAGTTGTATAATTTTTGTTGCATTACCATCGCTGGTGAGATTTGACAGTAGTTATACCGGTCAAGTTTTACGGAACAAGTGCGGCTCAGTGTCACTCGGCATGTTCGGTGTTATAAGCATTTTAACAAGCTATGCTTGAATGATGCCTTGCCCGTTGTTATCACTCCCACCGCGGTGAAACGCCTAGAACGAAATTTCTAAAAGCGCCGTTTTCTTCTTTCTGGATCCTCCACTCAGCCGACTTGTTTACGTCTTCTGTCTTCTTGCATTGTTTTCTCCCTCTTTTACTTTTTTAATTTTCTCATTTATTTTTATTATTCTTCAATTTCTTGCAATAGTACTCCCAAAAAA